ACATTGATAAGATAGCAGTTTTGGTTGAATCTCTTTCATACGTGCTGCTAAACCCTTCCTTTTGCATGTCATGGCGGGAACTCAATCAGTAGTCAATGACTTTGTTTAGAAACCTATAGGCCAGTTTCTTCCAAGAATTTGCTCAAACATTGAGAAACATCCTCACCTCTGGACTGATCAGTTAAAAAAAACCCCATTGTCAGCATATCTTTAGAGAAACCCTTTCCATTGAAATAGCGAACGAAAACACATAATTATGGAATATCAATGCCATTTGTAGACTCATCACATTCCAATTCAAATCCTTGTGCCCTTCTGAGATCGTGAAGTAGCTGCTGGTGTCATTTTGATCATCACCATGTGCTCTCAAGACCTGCTTTGAGTACGTTCACTTTATCTAAACTAAGACTCGATCGTGGAGGGTATTTAGAATCAAAATCCGCGTGCTTACTTTCGTCATGTCTTTTAATGTTTCCACCCTATCACGGCAACAGTGTTGGTGGCAAATCAAGCAAATGAGTAGCGCATCGGTTCTTGCCGTCAAGATAAACAAATAGTGCTATGTCTATTATTCGTGAAAAGTACGATTTTCGGAATCGATATTTATTCGCTTCTTTGTATTTGCAATTGCAGAGTACAAACGAAAACTCTAATAAATTGTTCTTATCCGCATAGCTACTTAAAAGCTTTAAAAAAATTCAATCCAACCACACCACCCTATAAATTTGAGAACAATTATTTGCCGGAAGTGCATATGAACAGATATAAAAATTAGGCGAGATGAGTCTTTATTGGTTATAGAAAATTTCAGTTTTTGGTTCCGGAAATTTCAGTTTTTATGACTTTTGCGCGGTCCACAAGGAAAGGCTTGGCGGTGTAGCCCTGCTTTATGTCTACAGTATTCTAACCGACACTACTTCAAACAACGTGATATCACATGCATTGAACATTGTGTTGTAAAATGATTTTGTCTGTGTAGCATTTTCTGTTTTTCGGAAGGACACATGCTCTTCAAATTACAATTTGTAAAATAAGTAAAATCTACTTTTTAACGTTAATACATTTTCTACTTCTTTTTGGACTATTTTAACGCACAAGAAATGAAAAGTGCAGTTTTCAAGTGAGAATGAACGAAGTTATTCGTTCATCTTTCTCTCTGCCAGTAGCTTCTCGTGGGTCGGTGGTTCTTTCCGGTGATTTCTCGGTTTCTTCCTCCACCATTAATACTGGCCGCCATGAATAGCCTATCGTGTGCTGAAAAATGGCGTGAAGCATAACAACAACAACTCTCTGAATAATTTCCACTGAAATAAAAACTACGTGATAAAAATAATCTCAAATGGGTAATGATTTAAAGTTGTATCATGAAACTCGTTGAATAAATTCCACATTCAATCGATACCAATCTGAGATCATCTATATATCACACAACGTGTGATATATAGAGGATCTCACACAACGTGTATTTCGGAGTTTTGTTGATTTTATTTTTTAATGTACTTTTTGTTCGTGTGTGTGTGTGTGTGTGTGTGTGTGTGTGTGACTGATATGAGTATGAGCACTGCAGTCAATATAAGCATGCAGAGTTGCATCTTGGAATTTGTTATTTTCATTTAGCCATTACTTTCGTTTATTCGTAATCCCAGTCCCTTAGAGATGAAAGTGATGATTGACTAAATTTATTTTCTCGTGCTATTAGTCTATAGCGGTAGCATGTTGCGGATGATGGGTAATATATTACAAGCATCATGTAGAATTATTCAGCACATTTGGATGGGGTTTTCATCACTTTTAATGGAAGTTCAACAAGGTGTATAACAATCAAGTGTACCGATATATTAAAATATGTATATATGCAAAATATCGATACGTTGGTATGTTTTAACTTAACTCTTGTTTTACCATTCAGCAACACTTGCAGGGTAGGATATATTGTAATCCTGGATATTAACCTACACTTTTTCGAATAGATTCCTAATGTTTTTAAACATGCTTGGAGGACAGACTCCGAAACACAGGACCGACTGGTTTACATCTGCATTCGATGGACAAGACTAAAAAAGTATTTTTTTTACCAACAACACGGAGACAATCCGCCTATAATGTGCAACTTTTTCTAGTATCAACGATCAAGGTTAAAGGTATTTATGTAATATAAAATTTTCATTTTAGACCGTAATGAAGTGAAATCTTTGAACAGTCCATATAACAAGAGAACGTGGCTTTGAAGAAAAAATCGTCAATTTAAGTAATAACATATAGGTTAGAATGAGCTTAGAATGGCTCGAAATATCTCAAGTGAACTCTAAATAAAAACGTATTTATCTTTATTGATGTTAGGAAACATATTTTATAGTCAATGCAACAGCTTGAAGCTATAATTTGAACCAAACTAACCCTTAAGCCATCGGTCAATAGATTGGTTGAAAACTAATCTGAACGATATAGCTCTTGTCAGAAACGTACGTGTGGTCGTCTCCGTATCCTTCATTACAGGGAGTGACAAAAGGATACGTTGCTTTCCAGCTGTAACATCGAGTAGCAAAAGCTAGTTTTTTTCCTGTTTGTATTTAAAATAGAATTATAGAAATAGGGGTTCTTTTATAAAAAAAAAAATATTAAAAAACCCCACCTTATATCTGGATGTCCTATTAAAGCAGCCGTCAATACAGACAACCACTTTAGAAACAATTCCATTATTATTATTATTATTATTATTATTATTATTATTATTATTATTATTATTATTATTATTATTATTATTATTATTATTATTATTATTATTATTATTATTATTTATTATTATTATTATTATTATTATTATTATTATTATTATTATTATTATTATTATTATTATTATTATTATTATTATTATTATTATTATTATTAGTGTATGATGGAGTTTCACTGTATGTCAGCACATTGGTGGCTCTCTGATAGCAACTAAATGTAAATGTAATATCTGAAAAATGTAAAATGAATTATACAAAGTTTAGGAAGATAAAATTTTTCAGATAAATGGAAACACTAAGAACAAGATTGAAACCTGAAACATAAAGATATTGAATGTCTGTTAAATATAGATAAAATAAATCATAAAAATAACACATCTAAAGTCTTTCTCAAAATATGGTCAAAATTTAGTAAATATACCGTAATACCTCAAAAAAGTCAAAGATTATTTCGGTGGTACATCATTATATAGTTTATTTATACAGTTCATGTCAAAATACTTTTGTTGTGCAAGGTGAAAATCGATCCATTCGACAATTCTAATATGTAACATCTAGACATATTGTCTGTAGTTAGGTCCATATTGATTACTTCCTCTTAGAGTCAACACGAGTCTGTATATTGAGAACTATGTATGCGATAAAATTTATTGTTTCATTAAGTTCAATTAAACATTTTCTATATATGAATCAGTTTATTAAAAATGAAAACTGAATTATTTATAATTAATTTGGATGTTTGAAAGCAGTTATTACTTACTCATTGTCATTTTTTTTTTGTATAAATTGTTCATGTATATAAAAGATATTTGGCAAACTAAAGAACAAAAGCGAGTTATACTATACTTAGTGATTTTGGAACCTGCGGGTCGTTTTGTCAGGGCACGAAACACACACACACACACACACACACACACACACACACACACACACACACACACACACACACACACACACACACACACGGGAATTTGGCTTTGACAAAAAATGTCAATTTCAAAAATGATATAAGATAAGGCCAGAAGGACAAACAAACACCATATTCCAAAATAAGCTTTATTGACTAACGTCCTATACACTATGTAACAGCTTGCATATCATTTCATCCAACGAAACCTCCAGCTATTATCTGTCTTACAAGTCGGTAAGTAACTTGCCGTGGGACATATTTGAATAATGGCATAACTGGTACTTCAAATGTAAATAAACAAACAAGCAAAAATCGCAGATAAAACATCTGTCCTAATGTTTGTGAACAATCATGAAAGAAGAGATAAAACGTCTTATATGAAGAAAATCGCCAAGGTATTATGCAGTAACATTTAAAGTTTTCTGCTATTAAATCATCGTGCTATTGAATCATCATGACCTACCTTAAAAACAATCCTTTAGATTCATATTTTTTTCTCCTAAGTACTAATTAACTATACAGACGAATTACTTGGTTTGTAAACGTTGCTATCTTTGTTGTTAAAGAAGTACATGTATATTTATTTTGGTAAATGTCGCATGCAGCCTTCACAATATGCATTCCAATACAAATCATTTAAGGTACTAAACAAATTATTATTGTAGACTCAACATTTTAAGCATCGATTTGAAATTAATCAATAATAGTTTAGTTTTCATGGTTCTATCCCAGTTATAATACGGCGGAGAAGTTGACCTATGATGTTGAACTATGACAATGAGTTGCCGATAAAGACGGTATACAAGCACAGCTGGATGCCATGGTAATAAACATTTTAATGTTTGTTCTCGTGCAGTGCCGATTTTTTTCTTGATTTTTAACATTTATAAAACTATATTTTATGAAAATTAAAATTGTCTATCAAATGAAAGTAAACATTTTATGACCGGTTCTAACGCATATAAAGTCTATTAAACTTTTAATGAAAAATGAAGTACTGGACCGTAGCTCACATGGCATAAAGAATTTCGTTTTAAACTCAGACATCGTTGGGGCAAGGACTTCTTAATATTCATTAGGTACATGACCTATAAATCTGAAGAAATCATTTATATTCTGCATGGAAAACAAACAGGACAAAAAATCAATTAAGGGATCTATGCTTTCCATTGATTGACTCGAATGCCATTTGTAACGCGTTCTCCAAAGACGAGAAGAGCCATTAAGCTCTATATTTATTGGGATCCGAATTATACTCCATATGTCAGGTAGGCTCAAAGCTAAGGAAAACTAAGCAATGTCATCCGATTGTGCATGTCATTTGGATTAGAGAGATATCTATAATTTATATCCACGTTGTTCTCTCGTGGCTCAGTTTGTTCGAGTGTCAGACTCATAATCGAAAGGTCGCGAGTTCGAAACCCGCCCAGGACAGTCTGGTTTGACCGCTTCAGTGTGTCCTTGAGAAAGAAACTTAGCTCACATTTCGTCGGCGTGATATTAGCCAATATGTGATAAAGTGATGTTAAAACCATCCAACTATTTGTTTCCGTTGTTACAGTGTTGTCAAGAATGCATGACTGCATGTTGTTGACTTCTAAGTCAACGACAAGTATGACAATAATCATTAACCATATAAACACACCGGAGGAAATGTAGCAGCCATTCATTTCGCCTTTAACATCAAAACTTAATCCCGAACCCGGGTAGCACAAATCTGGGTTCGAGATTAAGAGGACCAGAATGAAAGTCAAAAGTTGTAAACAAGGTCCTGTCTTATACTTAAATTTTGATAAAGACCACGACACAGATCAGCGGGACCAGGAATATCCAATGGCAAAATCCCACGCCTGAATTCAGATCCATGTAAACATATTTATAGAAATTATTTCAGTTTAGTCAACACTTGTGGACAAAAATTAACTATGTAATATTGTTCCGACTCATTGATCTTAAAATATTAATAATAATAAAAAAAACCAGAAAAGAGCAAAAGCAAATAATTTTTTTTTTGCTACAATAATTCAAAGTGAAAATTTAAAACGGTATTGGAAATTAAACTCCAAATAGTCTTAAAAGTTCTATCAAAAAGTCCAAAATGTATGAAGTTAGGGCTGTATTCAATGGTATTCCAAATTTCGATATAGAATTTGCAGATGTGCATGTTGTCCCGAAACAGCTAGTGTGTCAGTTACACAAAGTTAGTTAATATGCTAAGATTTTTTTGATGTGTTACAATAATATAGTCCAAAATGTCGTTATCTGAATTCAGTATAATTCAAATTTCTGTTTTTCTCCCAGATTATTGTTGAGCACTTATAATTCCAGTGAATAAAGGATTCGAACAAAATGAAAAACTGAACACAAAAATAACAATTATTCTGCTTCCATGTTAAGGGAAGAATTAGTAATTTTCAAGTGAACAACATATATATATATATATATATATATATATATATATATATATATATATATATATATATGACTTAATAATAGGGCAGGATGTATATTTCGTTTTTAAATCATTCACAGTTGACAATAGGTTTAGAAATTTCCAAATGGAAACTAATTTTATGAACTCATATTCAAATAAACATGTTTGCCCCTATTGATGATCTGAATATTAATCCATAACCATAGATAAATATTTAGTTTTATATTTTGCTGTTTACAAAATAAAAGATTCTGGTCAGGTACAACATGATTTTGATTTTGGACAAGTTCAGGTACAAAATACAGATATACATAACATTTAATCATTAAGAAACGCGAAAAACTAATACAAATTAAATATACATAACAATATGTTGTTTGTAACAATGACCCTTATAATGTATAATCGTTAACAAAAGTTAAACACATAATATAGCTATACATGACATAATAATTATACGTTCTTTAAAAGGACAATGGATTCAATCTATATTTCAAATACTTTAAAGTATTAACTTTCTCCATAGCTATTTCAGACAAATGCTTAATATGTGAATTCTGGTCGGATTCACCCTTGATATAATACATAAATGTTCCTGCTTGGATTCATCTTAAATAATTTATATTATCTATATCCAGCATATATTTTAATTAGTTTGCATTTTTTTTGTAATAAGCATTTTAACTCTGTTTTATCTAACCACTGACAGCATGAGTCATGTGTCCTTATAATATCGGAATTTAAAATTCGGCCAGCCGCATTTTGACTTTCAACAGTTATATAATCGTATCATTTGCAAATATTATTTATTTAGACAAAAATCAATAATTGTCCAAATATTGATTATTGAGAGACTCCTACATGAATGACTTAATTCAGAACCATGTAAAGGGCATTATAAAAATCTAATAAACTATTAATTGCAGATCTTACAGTGTTAAATCCTATTGATTTGAAGCAATTAATTTCTGCTGAGCAATATATTTATGTAAATTTCTATAAATACATTTAAAACAACAACAAAAAAAGAGAGAAAATTTAAAGAAATGATACTGGACCATACTTCAAAACTTTTGTCTTCAACTTTTCTTGTTTATTTTGACCACACCTGCAAGCTTCTGCAAGAATCTGTATTTCCTGAGATTTTATTAAGAGAAATATTGAATATGTGAAACTTCATATAAAGCAACGCTGGATCTAATAAACTTTGTTTATACGCTTTGGATTGATTTAAGCCAATTATAGCATTGTATATTTCCTATTTACTTATATTAATCCAAGAAAGGGAAGGGTGAGACCGGGAAAATTCATATATTTATGTGTCGACAATTGAACAGCGTATTACTTTATCAATTTTCTGTTCTAGACTGTTTTGAAAGAAGGTCATTAAATATGTAAACTTTCTCGTCATCATATGCTATCGTAGCCGCAAATAAAATCATAAAATCAATGTCGTTAGTATATCTCCACAGTTCCTTACAGTAGCCTCCAGAATTTTATTTTTTATATATGATAACTGTTGATTAAAAAATTAGTCACTTATTTTTCTCCTGGTTACTTTTTAACCATATAATAAGCAATGTTGAGTGTCTTGTGTACGTTTTGCTCCATCGAAACGACACTTTCCTCGTCTAGTACTTTTTCTAATTGCATTTTACATTAGGGGCAAAATCTTTAGCACGAATAATAACGATTTTTTCGTGGCAAAGGTTTGTGAAATTAGCAACCTTGTAATTAATATTGTTTTTTTAATTCCATACAATGGACTGCAGAAGTAAATGTCGCAGTTTATGGTTCCAATAACAGTGCCTTACTTGTATGCAAATGCAATGCATCATTTCATTTAATTATCGATTGTATAGCCATACGCAATTCGGCATATGCAATATGAGTAACCAGCGTATACATAACATGATGAACCCGTTTTAGCCTCTTAAAAACCAGATTGGTTAAAGAATATTAAATATATTACTTGTATTACTAAAAAATAGAATACTGGGTCCCAGTTCATGCGGGGTAAAAATTTCCTTGCTAAGACATTGTCGGGCCAGTACTTCTCAATATTCAGACACTGACCTATAAATATGAAAAAATTAATTTTATTCTACAGGTAAAACAAACAAGACATAAAAAAATCATTTGAGAGATTTATGATTTTCATTGGTATGAGTGAATGGCATTTGTAACGCGTTATCGAAATATGAGTGGAGCTATAAAGCATTATGTTTAGTAATTTTCGCGCTGATATTACAACGATAAAAATCAGATCAGAATAATACCGTTTATGTCACGTTGGTTCAACACTAAGGAATAATGAGCAGTGTTATTATGACTGACCTTATATTTCGGATTAAGGAGATGTTAATACTTTATCTCCATGTTGTTCTTTCGTGGTCATCTTAACGTCCATGTATTTCGGATTAATATGTCAATACTTTATCTCCATGTTGTTCTTTCGTGGTCACCTGAACGTCCATGTCTTTCGGATTAATATGTCAATACTTTATCTCCATGTTGTTCTTTCGTGGTCACCTGAACGTCCATGTCTTTCGGATTAATATGTCAATACTTTATCTCCATGTTGTTCTTTCGTGGTCACCTGAACGTCCATGTATTTCGGATTAATATGTCAATACTTTATCTCCATTTTGTTCTTTCGTGGTCATCTTAACGTCAATGTCTTTCGGATTAAGGAGATGTCCATACTTTATCTCCATGTTGTTCTATCGTGGTCATATGAACGTCCATGTCTTTCGGATTAAGGAGATGTCCATACTTTATCTCCATGTTGTTCTTTCGTAGTCACCTGAACGTGCATGTATTTCTGATTAATATGTCAATACTTTATCTCCATGTTGTTCTTTCGTGGTCACCTGAACGTGCATGTATTTCTGATTAATATGTCAATACTTTATCTCCATGTTGTTCTTTCGTGGTCATCTGAACGTCCATGTCTTTCGGATTAAGGAGATGTCCATACTTTATCTACATGCTGTTCTTTCGTGGTCATCTGAACGTCCATGTCTTTCGGATTAAGGAGATGTCCATACTTTATCTCCATGTTGTTCTTTCGTGGTCACCTGAACGTCCATGTATTTCGGATTAATATGTCAATACTTTATCTCCATGTTGTTCTTTCGTGGTCATCTGAACGTCCATGTATTTCGGATTAATATGTCAATACTTTATCTCCATGTTGTTCTATCGTGATCATCTGAACGTCCATGTATTTCGGATTAATATGTCAATACTTTATCTCCATGTTGTTCTTTCGTGGTCATTTTAACGTCCATGTCTTTCGGATTAATTTGTCAATACTTTATCTCCATGTTGTTCTTTCGTGGTCATCTGAACGTCCATGTCTTTCGGATTAAGGAGATGTCCATACTTTATCTCCATGTTGTTCTTTCGTGGTCATCTTAACGTCCATGTCTTTCGGATTAAGGAGATGTCCATACTTTATCTCCATGTTGTTCTTTCGTGGTCATCTTAACGTCCATGTCTTTCGGATTAAGGAGATTTCCATACTAAGAGTAAATGTTGTTCTTTGTTGGTCATCATAATGGTTTTGATTGAAGAGACTCTTAAAGCGAGTGTGGTTGATTGATCTATAAGAAGATATAGGAAGGCGATGGAAACAACGAAACGACCTGCGTATGAAAACTATATCAGATGCAGTAAGAATTATTTTATTTAGAATTTTCATCGATGCAACAATTAGTACAAAGCAGTTTACAGGGAAGTTAACTGACAAGGTATTAAAATTGAAAATATTACCAATTTAGTCATCATGGAAATAACATCTTTGGATAGTTGAAATAAATACCTTGATGATCAACTATCGGAACAAATATCTCCTATATAATCAACTACAGATGAAGTTAATTTCCTTAGAACTTGTAAACAGGGATGAGCATATGAACATGTGGTATATTTATTTAAGTTCAAACTTTAATGCCGCACTTTGTCAATCAATGTTACAATCAAAATGAACAATCAA